GGGAGGAGAAGAGAAAGAGAGAGACAGAGAGAGAGGCAGGAGGTGGAGGAGAGCTGAGAGAGAGAGGGGGGAAGGCAGTAGGAGGAGAAGAGAGAGAGACGGAACGAGAGACCGGAGGCTCAGGAGAGAACACTAACGTGGAGGAGAGACCTGAAAATCCTGTCTTATGATGGGCTAATTGGCTAGTTTCAAAATAGCTGTTTTGGAATAGGCATTATTCCTCATAGAATGAGGTTTACAGAAGTCGGAATAAGCAGTCCATTATTTTCCATTTATTTCGAAATAATGGAACCACTGTGTAGATGCTTGCATTGTTTTCGGAATAACGGCCATTATTCTGAAGACACATCCTGTGTAGATGCACCCTGAGCATCTAAGGTCTCAACTTTGCCATTTCATTGCACAGACTTCAATGGGGTTTGTGCAGATTGAAATACGCACCAGTGGTTCTGTTCTCTAAGGACTTTTTGAAAAGCCTTGCACAGGAATTGCAGAGTTAGTGACTGCGTGACCCTGAAGGTCATTTGTAGAAATGGCTTCAGCTCAGTTACTAAGGGGACAATCTCAGAGAGGTAGCCATGTTAGTCTGTTACTTTAAAAAACAAGTAGTCCTTAGCGCCTTGGACACTACATATAAAGTACCGTGAGCTTTCATGGGCTAAGCCTACTTCCTCAGATGAGCAGAGTGGAGAGATATGGGGGGGACTCACAATTTATAACAGAAGGGAGGTGCGAAAAAGTACCTGCCAATTGTAGGGCTGGTGCTAATGAGACTAAGTGATGGGACTGGAAGTGTCCCATAATTAGCTTTTGGTGTCAGTTGGGTATTGAAAGTAAGAAAAGCTGGTTTTAAAAAGACTCATCCACATAGGCCACAACATCAGAATCTCATACAACTGCACATCCTGTAATGTAATCTGTGCCATCAAGTACCAGCAATGTCCCTCTGCCATGTCTATTGGCCAAACTAGACAGTCTCTGTGACAAAGCATAAATCAACACAAGTCAGACATCAAAAATGGTAATACACATAAACCCATAGGAGAACATTTTTACCTACCTGGGCACTCATTAATGGATTTCAAAGTACCAATTGTTCTACAAAGGAATTTCAAAAACCAACTACAGAGAGAGACTGTGGGAACTGGCCTTCAAATGCAAATTTGATACTATCTCTCATGGCTTGAACATAGAAATGAACCGGATGGGCCATTATATTTCACACCCAATTGACAGCAAAAGCCAAATATAGGACACTTCCAGCTCACTCAATTAGCCTCATTAGCACCGGCACCACAACTGACAGGTATTTTCCCCATTTCCCTTCTTTTTCTATAATAAATTAAGCAGGTGCCCCTTTTCTCTCCACTCTGCTCATTAGACAGTATGTCCAGACTTCAGAATTTTGTCAGAAAATGGCCTGAGTTACGTCCACACGGCAAGCACGTTCTTTCGACAATAAATTGAAAGAACAGGGGGGTTTTGTGCAATTGGTAATCCTCATTTTATGAGGAAGAAGCCTTTTTGGTGAAAGAGCTCTTTTGCAAAAAGGCGTGTGTGGACAGGAAAGAGGGAGTTTTTTCGGAAGACGAAGGAAGAGGAAAAAGGACAGGTTGCCCTGATGGCCGTTCTGTTTATAGCAATCACTGTTTACATGCAAGAGAGCGCTCAGGCAGCCTGGACGCTCTCTTTTGCAAAAGCACTTCGCTTTTTCAATGCACTTTTGCAGTATGGATGCTCTCTTTCGCAAGAAGATTTTTCAGAAGATCTCTTCCGAAAAAAGCTTCTTGTGCAAAAAGCCTGTAGTGTAGACATAGCCTGAGGAAGTAGATTTAACCCACGAAAGCCCATGATACTGTACTTTTT